TATGTATGCTTTCCTTTCCCTTTCATTTATTTTCTTTATTTTTTTTTAACATTGTCTGACTTTTTGCCATGTAAGCTGAGACCAAAAAATAAACACCGCCCCACCCAGAAAAATTGGGTTGTCATTGAAACACATGCCAAACAAAAGGATCTGCAGTCGGGAAAAAAATTCAATTTCCCTGTGTTCCGCATTTGCCTCAAACTCCTTTTTAGCCATTTGGCCATTTAAGGATGTCAATGTGGATTGGCCCCGAAAAAGGCGTGTGGGCGTGGCACTGCAACTCGCCTTCGTTGCAGCTTAACGTGTTCATTTCGAATCGAATTCATAAATCAAAGGCAAGGCGTCAATAAAGCAGCCAAAAAATAGTTCAAGAGCATGGAAAAAACAAATATAGGATTCGTTCAGGGGATCAAAAGGATGTTTGCCTTTCCTCAAATCAAACTCATATTGCTGCGATGCAAAAAAAGCGAAATGAATGAATGCAATCGATTGCCAAAAATGCAGAGGGAATTTCATTTATGTGTTGCACGCTTTTTCGAAATTGAGATTCCAGCTGTCAGCGGAAAAAGCTTAGTTTTGTGCGAAAAGGATTTAAAACGGCTTAACCTTTGCAGAAAAGCAGATTACAAAAATCTTTGAATAAAAAAGGAATAAGAGTGTCATATTGGAAAACAGAAACTGGGGATTTAAATCAACGAAAAAGCTAGACACAACAAAAATTATACAAAATAAATATACTATAAATAGTACAAAATATTCGTTACCAAAAAAGGAAATTGATTATATGGCGTTTTTAACCCTTTATATGGCAATAACTCCGATTTTCTTGATTTTTTTTTTGTTTGGTAGATAAGTGAAAATAAAAAATACACTTCTTTTTAGTTTTTTAATTTTTTTGGTTTAACCTTATTTTTTTTACAAAAGGGGTGTGATGCATTTCTGCATCAAAAGGTCTTAAAAGGAAAATTTTTTTAATATGTGTTTTAGAAAGATAATAACATTATTTCAATATTAAAATATAGTAATTTATATTTTAAATATGCCAATTTAAAGTAAATTTTTTAAACCAATTATTTCTTTTATTAAAACATAAAAAAACTACACATTTTTCGCACTCCGTTTGGGAGAATCCAGTGAAGTTCGTATATTTGCAGTATTTTTTTATGTGTTAAGCTACTTTGATGCATATCTGCAACAAAGCGAAATTGTTGATTTATTCTTATTATAATGCAACAAACACAAAAACTCGACAAGATATAGCTAAATATAATATTTACTTGTTTAAAAATATAAATTAAATCAACTACACATTTTTTTTGTTATTTATATTTGGATGTGAAACTGCACAACCAGTTCAGATTTCCATATTCACCAAACTGGCGGGAAAAGTAATCATCTGTTGAGTATTGGACAGAATTCTGAGTGACTAACACTTGTTATATAAAAAACGAAAGTTTCTGAACTGCATCAAAAAGATTTCAGACAGTTTTGCAACGCCCGTTGAAAAATAAATGAATTTGAACGGTATGTTGCAGATATGCATCACGGCCATATAAAGGGTTAAATTTTTAGGGGAATTTAAAAATATATATAAATTAATGCAATTTAGGACCTTTTAATAACTTATTTGTCTCCCCACGAAAAGTAACTTCTGCTTAATGAATTAAATTATTTAGATTAATGGCACACATAATTGGAATCGAACATTCCATAGATAAAATCGGATTTTAATTATTGAAACTGACACTTATGCAAACTAATGAGAATCTCATGTTGCGCCATCAAATGGCCATTGCTCACCGTACAGGTGACGAGCGCTAATGATGTCGCGACTCCCCAATGTCCCCCATTATCTCCCAATATCCGCCGATTGTCCAGACATTAAATGGCTGTCCCAGCAGCTGTTGGCCAATCGGCCCACTGGCCATCCAATCCACTCCACCTCTGGCCATCCATTTGCTCCATAAAGCATCGACATTTGCTGCTAATTACATTCTGTGGTCGGCATAACAAATCCCGTGGTCCAAGGGGCAAAAAATATGAACTGTGGAAGGGGAAAATGGGGAGGGGAAAATGCGGGGCATACGCACATGTGACCACGCCTCCCCCAAACCCCACGCACTTATTTATGATTGATGGCAGGAACGCAGACGGATGTGAAAGGTATCCGGAAAAGGGAACAAAAAAAATCAGGAGAGTTGTGCAAACAGTTGGAAGTTGGAAGTGGGGGAAAATCTGTTAAACTCCGGAGGTTCGATACGGTTCAATGGGGGGAACAACAAGTAATTAAAATACCAGGCAGGCAAATGGATGGATCGCACCACATCCACATTCAGTGGATCCACTGAATCCACGTGGCGCCACCTCCACCAAGGCTGCAGTGCAGCAGCACATGCCGCCTGTGTTCAGTTTCGAATGTATTGATTGATTTTTAATTACAAACTACACATAAAGCGAAGGACTTCGATTGCAAAAAAAGAAAACAAAAACCAGATGCGTGGATCCACGAAGCGGGGGAAAAATGGGGAAAAAGGGGGAATTGACTACTTCAATTTCAATTAAATGGCTTTTTATTAAACGCATAAACAATGGAAAAGGAGGAGTGCGTCGTCCTGCATTCTAATGGGGATTTAAGGACTTTTCCGAAGCGTTCGCCGTATAATTGAAGCAGCTTCCTTTTTTTTTTTTGCTCCTGCCGTTCAACGCATGCAATTAGCATTGGTTGCAAAAGGAGCATTCAATGTAGCAAGCAGCAAGAGTGAGAAAAAAATAGAAGAAAGGATGGGCGGTGGGCGTGGCAGGCAGCAGGTGGAAGTGCAGACAATTTTCCAGAGGCACGACGCACTGAAAGAGCAAGCAGCAAAATGCAAAAGTTGGCGAAAAACTTTTCACAACGCACATTGTCTTTTGCACTGGGAAAATAAAGGGGGAACTTTAGTTTACAAATAAAATAAAAATACATTGTTTATGTTATAAGAAGTGATAATTAAAAGTTAAGTAATTAAACTTTTTAATACAATATTAAATAATTAAAAATTGTAGGACAATAATGGAATTCAACGCTCATAAAATTTAACAGATTATAAGTAATATCAACTGTGTTGATTATTTATAAATTTATACTTTTTTTTATTTGTTTACAAGATTCCAAGTTAAAAGTTTACAAGGAACTACAACAAATACTTCTTTTGTACCACCAACTCATTAACCAAATTCGGCGAAAGACAACTGATTTATCTTCTCCAAATAAGAGAGGTACCTATACAATATTGTAGATTTTTTTGAGTGTCGGAGGGGGAGGGGGAGGGGGAGTGCTAATTGGAGTGGGCCTTGGCAAGAGGCAAACGGGCCGACGTTGCAATCAATGAGCCATTGTTACGGCGCGTTCGACGATTGAAAATTGCTAAGCTGGCAGCAAAAAACGAGGAAGCCAGAGAAAAGATTTCCATTCAAGTAAAGAGTGCGCGTGCCGTTTCCGATTTTACTGAGAACACAGGATATGTCCCTATAGAGGGTATTTTCACGACAAACAAATTATATACTATGTATATTAAAAAAAAAAAAAAACAATCAATTACTAACTAAATAAAGCGGTTTACAAATGTTTATTTCAAAGCTTCGGGGAAAAAAGAGGTATCAATTAATTTAAATAATATTTTTTGTCTGCAATACCCAACTTTTTTTAGAGTAATGATCTCTTCAAACTTTATTTGGATTGAATTGCAAGTTAAACATTGCAGAAAAGTTTATAAAAAAGCGGGGCTGAAAAGGTAAATTAACTGATTAAACAAATCTGAAAAAAGGAGTAAACATTTTGCGACTTAAATGAGTTTCCTGTCAATCGGAAAACACGTGATAATTGCTGGTTGGGTCTTCAAGTTCAAGTTGGGGGAGACTGCCTTATTGAATCTGTACAATTTGTTGGACATTCCATTGTATTTTCCCGGCTTTTCTTTTTCCCCATACTCTTCTTCGCCTTTAGCCATTACCTGTTCATTTTATCTGCCAGTTCCACCCGATTCTCGTAATTTCAATTGTCTATGCAAAAAGCTTTGAATCGCAAAATGGCAAGCCCACTGCTACTAAACTGAACAAAAATGCTAAGTAGTGTCTAAATTCAGGATATTTTAAATGAGTTAAACTCAAATTAAAATATCTCCATTTTGAGTGAGCAGTTCAAACATTTGCTAAGTTTTTTTTATTTAAATGGTTGAAGAGAAACCCCCAAATATGTTCCTTTACTTTGGGTTCTGTGCTCAGTGTTTTTTCTCAGTGCAGACTCCAGGTCCTGGAGCATCTGTAGTCTGTATTCTGTAGTCTGTAGTCCAGGTCCTGCTCCTTTTTATCAATCCCTGCCTGCTGACCATTGCTGGCTTGGCTTTTGTTTTTGTCGCCTTTTGTGAATGGGCGCTCGCTCCTCATGCCACGATTATGCTATATGGCATGGTCGTACCATTTGCCCCATTGTCTGCCATTTGCTGCTCGACTCAGATAAATTTCAATGAATTTGCAAACGCAGCAGAGTCCTGCTTCTAGTCCTCATTCTCGTTTTCATCCTGGTCGTCCTGGTCACATATCTTTGTTTATCTTTATACATTTACAATTAAAAGGGCTTGGCATTGTTGTCCTGTCGTAATATTAATGAATCTTCCCCTGCTCCTCCTTTGGATTTTCTGTGTATGAGTGTTTGTGTGTGTGTGTGGGTTTCGGTTGGATACGCAGGACATCACAGGACATCGCGGGACCTGCTGCTCGTTAATTGATTGCAATTTGTATATGTAAATTTTGCAGCCACCAAATGAATCCCGCATTGTTTTTCCCTTCTTGTTGTTTATTTTTTTTTTTTTTTTTTTTGCTGCAGCTTTCATTGTTGTGCAAATTTGTGTGTGGTCACATGTGTTTGTTAATTCACCGCTTTGCCCAACCAAATGCGATTCACCAAATTGCCTTATTAAGCTAAATCAATAAATTAATAATTATCGCTGGGGACTGAGACTCACCCCCTCCTCCTTGCCCTGGAGCAGATGAACGGCACCGGACCGCTGGATTCCCGGGAGGAACCACATCGGATGCGTCAGCAGCAGTCGCTCCATGAGTCCCAAGTCGCATGGCGGCGAATTGTCGCTCGAGTCCCGGCTGCTCGCCTCATCCTCGCCCTCGCCGTCGTCCTCGTCCTCCGCCTCCACGTGCTCCTCCTCTACGTCGTCGTCCTCGCTGGACGTCTCGCCCTCGGCGAGGATGCCGCCCTCCGAACTGGACACCAGGGATGTGCGCGACTGCAAAGGAAAGCGAAGGATGCAGTAGAATTAGAGGGGATTCGGTAATGGTGCACCTAATCGGTGGGATTTTCTATTCACTTAAGGTGGCATTTGGATTTAGCTGATTCTACGAGTCAAAACTAGATGCTTCTGGGAGTATCAGTTGTTCATATTTATAGAATCACACCAAGTTCTATTATTTAGCAACAAAAAGATACCAAAAACACCAGTGAGAATGAATTAGTTCGTATATAGAGAGACGCAATAATTATAAGTACACTTTTTCAATCATTGATGAATTTACATATATGCAGTGGCGTAGATAGGGGGGGATCAGGGGGATCAATCCCCCCCTTTGGGTCTGAGAATTATAAGATGATAAAATCGAATTTTTTCCAGGCATGTGTTTTAATAGAAGCATAATATTTTTGAAGCGCCAATATTTATTTTGTCTCAATGTGCAATACGGCAATTAATGGTAAAACTCTCAAAATTGAAAAAGAAACACATATTCTGAGTCATACCCCCCCCCCCCCATATCAAAAAGCTATCTACGCCACTGCATATATGTATCTTTAATTTCTTAAGCCTCATTTTTAATTTTGGTACGAGTTCCTTCTAAAAATTCTCCATTTCTCATTACTTTTATAAGCTTGTCAACTAATAACAACAAATTTCAACAAATAATAACAAAATACAGAATTACCAAATATGAAATCGATTTTAAAAGCTATCAAGTTTAAGAAAAAATATGTTAAAGTTTTTAATCCTTTTTAGTTACAAAATCTCAGAGATTTTTTCCCTTTTTGTTTATTCCTGGGCTTAATGAATATGAAAGTAAGAATTGAAGTTTTCTTTTGAGTACTTTTCTGTTTTGTGGCTAATAAAATGTAAAGAAAAGTTGTGGTTTTTCAAATGTTTGATACTCGTACTTTGAATTTTATATTCCTACAGTACTTGGATTACTTTATTTTCCAAGGCCAATTTCCTAAGCCTTTTCCTTGGCTAACGCCTTCAATCTGGGCTAATGTACAAGCTTAGAGCTACCAAAAAACGAGGACCGAGTTGCGAAAAACTTCCTGAGCAGCTGCTAAAGAGGACAGAGAGGCCCACACTTGACCAAGTTTAGAGGCAGCAGTTCTCCGCGGATGGAAAACCCAGAGTTGGCTGACGAATCTGCGACACTTGACACATTGCCGTTGGCCATGTTTCTGAAAATCTCCATCAGGGCGAGTGCAATTCCATGTCGTGATATTTTCAGAACGCCTCCGGAGCTCCAAGCTCAACATTAAAGCCTAGCCAGAATTTTAGTAGAGGGGGGAAAGCGTGTGGGGTGGGAAAAGTGGGTGGAGTGTTCACAGTGGAGCGGAATTTTCCCGCAGGCAGGGTTTGCAGGGCAAACAAGGCGAAACAAAAACACGAAATTTCTATGGCAGCTCGAAGCATGCGAGAAAAGCAGTTGCGTTGTAGGCGTTTTTAATTGAAAATTGCCAAGGGCTGGCTTTGAAGTTCCCCCTTTTTCCACTCTCCACTTTTTTGTGGGCGTGGCAGGAGGTTATTTGGGGGTTTATGCGGCAGATGAGTGTGTCACCCTCTGTCAAGACGACGATGGCGATGTTTGCCAACAGTTAGCGATGCCAAAAGTGATGCCAAAGCAAATGCTTGGGTAAATTATTCAAAAATAAATAAGACATGAGTAGGTGGCTGAATGGGGGTGGGGTTACAGCCTCAAAATACCTTGGACTAGATAGCTTAAGTGGGCGACTTTCTCATGTGATTTTAGGAGCGAAGGCTCCTAATTGCGATTAATTCAAGCTTATATTCCACTACAAACCCATTCGTTACGAAATGTAAATAGAATTCTATGTTTTACATGCAAAATACATGGACAAAATATAAACAAATATTGGATTACTATTAAGGAAACAATTATTGAATTTTAACTAATTGTAATAATTACGATAATAATAATAACAATAATAATATAATATTATATTATAGTTTAACGTAAGAACATTTAACCTATTAAAAGAGTAAATTTGTTATTTAATTGTGTCAAAAACTTATTTTCAATTTCGCATTATAAAACAGACTTCTGAATGCATTTCCTTAACTTAATGACATCGAATATTCATTTGATTTCTTTTGGGTTTCCCATCCAATTAAAATGACACCACTCCCTGCAGAAATGTTTACAATTTGATTAAAGCAGCCTGATGATATTCGCACTGCTGGACCCGTTTAATTTAAAATGCTCGACAGTCCTTTCATTAGAGGATGGAACCAGAAAGCATTTCCAGCGAAGCGTGTTTTTAGCTTTGGAAAAAAAAAACAGCCGAGTGGTGAAAACCCTTTAAACTTGACTCGTTACCACTAACAACGGCATGGATCCATCATCATTTTGCCCTTTTCTGTTTCCTCCTGCAATGGTTTTAAATCCGTGATGCCCTTTTGGATGAAGTGAAACTTGTTCGAGTGGCGGCAAGTGTCAAATTAGGTTTACCAGCTCACCTTTTTTGATATACATCCCGGGATTCATATCTCATCTCTCAATTGCGTTAGTAAATTTGAATAACGCTTCGGCGGCGAATTTTAATTTTTGATGTCATTTATTAAACGGGTTGCCACCGGTGGGCGTGAAGTGGAGATTGAGTTTCAGCTGTCCCTTTTTACCATTTTTTTTTTTTTTTGCGGCATTAATCATACGCCGGGTTGACAATGGCATCAGCAGCAGGAAATAAAAGCGAGAAGCTGCCGCAGACAGTGAGACATTCAGACAGCAGAGGTCTTAAGACAAACGCAATGAAATGGAAATGCAAAATGTTCGCCTGTTTATTTGCCAACCATTTAAATGCGAGCAAAACTGATGGGGGAGTTCTACCAAAAAGAAAAAAACCAGAAAAGGAACATCAGCCCCAAACAGACAGGCAATGGAATAATGTATATATATAAAAAAAATGGAAAATTGCGCAAATCCCTTGAAGAAATGTTTGAAATTTTTCAGAGCTCACAGCGGGCAGCCCCAAAGAACCCGGCGAAATTGTTGCAAAATTATGCTTAAATCAAAAATCACAGCAGCGCACAGTGGGCGATTTGGTCTCGCTAGCGGCATTTAATTCAAATTTCAACTTTCAAAAAGCGATGATTTTTTTTCACAATTCGATAATAGATACTTTGATTAGATTTATCCAAGCATTTTAAAAGCTCTACGATGAGCTGATCATCAGCTGTGAACGGACAAACACAGAAAATGATTTTGCAAAGAACTTTACAAAATTTTACCTGTTTGCGCGCATCGAATTCAAGTTCCTCGGAAATTTACAATTTTTAGTGAATTTATTAAAAGTTTGGTTTTTTATTAATTTCAAGGTATGCATTACAAAAAAAATTAATGTTTGTGACCGGTCTATAAATGTGTAGCTCATAAAACGTAGTGGCAATTCAGTGTATTAACAACGAGCCCGTATTAGCGTACACCTGTCTTTCGTGGAGAAGAACTTACCTGATTCAAGTGGATTCAGTCTAACTCTTTTATTAGCCGAAAGTGTGAATCAGTGGCGTCCAATGTGTGTAATATGAACTGCTAATACCTGCTAGCCTTCAAACTATGGTACTTTTAAGGCACAATGTCAGTAGCAAAAAGGGATCTTTTTTAGTATATTTTAGTATTTTTACTATGCCGCCGTCTGATTCCGATGATTCTGAATAAAATTCTACCCATTTTTAAATTATGTTTGTTTATGGAATATATTAATTGATGTTTAAAAAACATAAAAATAAATCGAAATTTAAAATTAAAAAATATTTTTTTTTAAATTAAAAAAAAAAAAAAAAGTATTAAAAAAAAAAAAACTTTTTTTAACTTAAAAAATTGTATGATTTTTCTTTGATCGGTGAAGAAAAACCGACTGAATATATCTATTTTAGTTTAGAAGTTATTAATTAAATGCCGCTAGCGAGACCAAATCGCCCACTGTGCAGCGGCAAAAGACACGCTCACTGCAGGCGACCGGATTTTTTTTTCTCCTTTTTTTTTTTGGTGGGGTTGAAGCAAAAAAAGGACGACTGCGAACGGGCAACCCTTGTGTCCTGGGCATCCTGCGATTCCCAAGGAGAATGCGGGAGGCGAGGTGGCGGCGAATGCTGCGCATATTTTATACCCTGCATTAGGTCTTAAGTATTGCTTATTACGTCGCCAGTGGGATGCCTTTTTCAGTTCTTTTTTTTTTCATTCCCTCGCCAGGGACCCAAAACTATTTGAAAGTCGTCCAGTTAAGGAGGGGTTAATGCTCGACGAATGCAGCCAGGGTTCTGAGACCTAATGATACTCATTTAACGGTCAGTCCTTAAAGTCAACAGTCTCCCCTTCTAAAAAGTCTGACCACTGAATGTGGAAATTGTGAAGTTTTTTCTAGCAATTTGCTATTTGCTTCCGCAAGAAAAGTTTCTACAAGAAGGGTTTTCCAAGGATTTAAACACTTATTGAATCAATCAATACACTTGTGAGATCAATTAGTATTTTTAAAATATTATAAACATTTAACTGAAAAACTATTCCAAGGAATCTATTACAAATAAAACGCTACTCCGCTTTTTGAAAACTCCACCAATAATGATAATAACACAATAACCATATAACCTATCTGGAAGAACAGAAATCGAAGGAGCATCTTGTATTTCAAACAACGCAGTTTGTTGTCCCCATTCCACCGACTAATGCGATACTTATTAAGTTAGCCGAGAGCTCCCCCAGTTCGAATGTTATAGCTATCTGCCCAGATCCCACTCATTTGTTTACAGAATTACCAAAACACATAAAAAGCAGACGCACAGACATGGACATGCGGGGATATCTAATAGCTTTATGTTGGATATAATATAAGGCTTGATTCCTTGTCGGCTGCAGGCAGCCACCCCGAGTAGAAAAAAAATGGGAAAATAGGAATAACCGTGCCCGGAATCGACTTCTGAGTAGCCCGGCTGCATTTTTGAGTGGCGCACAGTGCGGCTGGGTGGGA